TCAGTGCTTCTTTCTTATTGTAGTTTTGTATTGCTGATAGTTTTACTGCTAGGATAAATAGTAAGTAGCTGAATGTAATTGTAGGGTAAACGATCCGATCGTGCTGATAAGTACTGATTGAGAATGATAAGGAATTACTATAGACGACTTTTAGGATACGCTCCACATTCTGTTTCTTCCAAGCCATGTTAAGACGATTCGACCTGTACGGCTTGGGGGGGGCAAGTGATCTACATGTCGGCCTTTTGTTCTAATAAAGGGTCCAGCCACTGTACAACATCGTGATATGTGGGATGGCGGTGCCAGTACGACCCCCTAAAAATTGTCATCTATTGTGACCAAGTTCTCTGACTTTCTACCAATTGTCCCAGTTCTCCAAAACCTTTTTTTCAGAAAACTGCCCTCGGACGAGGGGGGGGGGCTGGTTTTTGAAGAGCTACTAAATCCAGCTGTTGAAAATAGCAGTTATGGTAGTTTAACAGCGCTGGCCAAGAATGGAGGGGTCATGCAACGAGAAAAAACCACAAAAGTCCAACACCTGGGAATCTTCTGCTGGAACAATTTTCGGGGAAGTTTTGTTCAAAAGGTAAGTACCACCACCACTCCCGATACGCGCAAATCAATAAACGAGCCCCTCCCTTTGATGGGATTCTCTCAGCGATGCTGGTCCTTGAGTCTAATACCATCCGTCCCAGAAGGTACAGAAGGCTTGCTAGGTTCGGGTGGCAGTGCTTCTGAAGTGTTTGAATGCTAGTTTCCTATGAAGGATTATGATGAAATGTAGGAATGGCACTAGATACGAAAGAAATGAGAAAAAAAGCAAAGAAAAAATCCGGAATTCTCAATTGTTCATTACTTAAGTAGTGTCCAGGTCCGTTGTTTGCGCCACCGTTGCTAACGTTTTCGTAACTCCAGGATACCCTTGCTCTTTCCTTATCAAGAATTTTTCAGTTTTCTCATTCTATGCTTTCCTTCCCCCCCCCCTTGCATTGTTTACAAGACTATCTCTTTCTTTCCGATTGTAAATATGATTTTCGCATTTTCTCATCTATCAGGCACAAGTCGATGCAAATTTTTCCATCAAATGTCAATGCGATTTAATCGATTTATTGGCTGTTTTTATTTTTTATAGTTTGTCTTAAGCCACACTCATCTCTCTGTCTCTATAGAGCCTGTCGCAGGTAGGCTTGAACACACCGGTCTAAGCCGCGTGTCGCCCGTGAATTGCGCGAAGGCGTACCGCATAAGGCGAATGCGATAACTGTGTATGATAGAGACGCAGAAAACAGCGACTCTAATTCTCATGTGCTCCATAATATGCGAGTTCATCAGTGATGGCTCTTCAATACTCTGCTGTTCTACATTTTTGTCGTGTATCATTTCTTATCATTCCACTGATACTGATAGTGATCTTATCTCTATCACTTACTGTTGATCTTATCTTCGAAGTTTAACAGAAGGTGGAACATTCTCATATAAATTGTGACCGTTTCTGGTTCGTTGAGCGTGAGTAGATTTCTTGGCTAAATTTGGCCTGGATGGGCCAATCGTCTAGCCTTTGCATGGCTGTACATTTCTTTCAACGAAATATGGTCGTCTTTCAGATGACACTGGGTACAGCATCCTCCACGCAACGTGTCCATCGATGCCGTCACCGACGTCATTACCGAACGGTGTCGCCCCGTCGCCACCACCGCCATGTTCGGGTTGTATCAAGCTCCATGCGGACATCAAGCCAGGTGATCCATTGAGATTTTTGGCAGCCAAAAGTAGTAGGAATCGCAGCCAACACAAGCAGTTGAGTATCCGCACAAAGCAGTCCGAGGCGGTCTCAAGAGGGGGTGGAGTGAGCGTTTTCCAACATTGGTTGCTTTCTTTGTGTACCAGTCATTACCTGATCAATATTGGTAGATGCAAGGCGGCCGAAGCGCGCGATCATTCGCAACCCCTGCACCTCCCCCGCCTTCGCGACGTTATCTGGTAAACGAGTTGGGACATATCTCATGACACATCATTACGTTTGGAAGAAACTCCGGGTTGGGTGGACCATTTTCGCACGCGAAACACGAAAATACTGATTTCGGTCATAAATATTCGCACGCTGCCTCGTCTCCCTGGATTCAAAAGTTTCCGCTCATGATACTGGCACAAACAAAGTGTGCGGAATCCTCATCACTGACATGATATGAAGCGTGTGAGGTCGTGGCGTGTCCTAACAAATATACACTCCGTATCCCGGAAATGGAGAGGGCGTGGCCACATGCTTCATTTGAATGTCACTGCGGCTCCTATTTTCGTGGAATAGTCTCGGAATCCTGCAGACCAATATAAGAGCAGAGCATAATGTATGAACGCAGCTGAACTGCAATGTGGCAGTCGCTAGTGATCGGGGTTGCACACTCTATATCTCAGAGCTGGAGAGGGCGTGGCTCTCTGCTTTATTTAAAAATCTAAGCGGCTATGTTTGTGGTGAGGCGTTGCCGTTTTTGGGACAGTTGTAATCATGTCTTTGTCGAGCATAAGGCAGGATGACGATTGTCTGGAAGCATCTTACGAGAAGCGCATCCTAAGACATGTTCAAGTAGCGGCGCTTTGCGACGCAGCGCCTCATCCCATCTTCCGAGATATGGAGTGTATCAAAATATTGACCTGAGGACCTATACCTGACTAGCACTTTAGCACTTTTTACGAAATCATGTGAAGTGATTGAAGGGTGTTTTCGCCAGCATTTCGTCGTTAGCGTGATTTCAGGGTCATTTAATAGCCTCGGGGTGAGGGGGTGTGAGAATAATGGCGTTGATTGTCTTATTGACAGTATCCTGAATGCCATTGCGTAAGCACAGTTTCACTTTTTTCAAATCTCCCACGCGATAGCTTCATAGGCGTTGGGATGTGTGGCAAAAGGAAAACAGTTCGTGGAATCCTAATAATTCACTATGAAATAATCCATCAAAGTTATTGAAATTTTTTATGACTAAATTTGATGCTCATTCATTTCAGAATATGCAACAAATGATGGACAAATTCGATTTGATCTATATGCGATTAGAAAGCTTAATGAATGAGAAAGAAAAAGATCGGCTAATCGTTCAAGATCAAGAAATGAGCGAAAGTGGGAAGTGATGATAAGGTTTGTTCTGAAGTTCACTACGCGGCATACTGGGGTCATATTCAGACCTCATCGACCCCCTCCTCATCAGTCTAGGCCCAAAACTGTGATTTTGGAGGATATACCGTAGTAATCAGGGCAAACGTAGTTGGGGATCGGGTTTTTTATTAGGTGGCAGAAGGAGAAGGTCGTGTTTGGCCCAATAATATTTCTTTCTTTAGTTGAGTTTTCGGTCTGACGCCCATCGTTGGGATCATTTCCAATAGGGGGTGGGGTCATAGTATTCGTTCGTCGTTGGGAGAAGGAAGCCGTATTAGCCTCGTCCCCCTCTTTTCCGCTTGGCAGTAGCTTTTGGTGAAAAACTGGAGAATTTCCGCGAAAAAGGGGAAAAACGGTAGAAAGTGCGGTCGTATTTTCTCCAAATTTTCACCCCGCCGCAGGAGTACCGTTTGGGGGGGGGGGTAGGTGTAACATTGGCGTGACTACATAGACTTTTTTCATGTTATAAGGGTTACTAGGGTTCACTGATGAGTCCCAGGCATCCTTGGTAGGACTCCTCTTCCCGTTGGAAATATATTGCACGATACGAACTACACAATCCTACCATGTATCGGCCCCTCCCCTTTCACCAAACCCCTTCCTCTACCACCTCCATGAATTTTCCTAATTTTCCACCACCTTAGATGTATTCTTTCCAAAATTCCTCAGTTTTTCCTCCGCTGTCGAGTGGGAGGGGAGGAAAAACTGAGGAATAGATGGCGCATGTGAGAGAGAAAATCTCTGAAAAGCAAGAAAAAGTTCAGGAAAGGCAACAGCCAAGAACATTTTATGGCCCCTCCCTCCCCTCCAGGTGGCCTAATACGACTCCCTCGCTGAGAATTCCGTAGCGTACGATGTGTTCTGGTCCCAAATGGGTTGTGACTGGCACAACGTGCCCCGGTGCTTACAACGTGAAAGTACAGTTGATCATAGCAGTCTTTCCTCACGTGATCCCACCCCCCCCCATAGTTAATTGAATTTGCTTATGTGCTTTGCTCATGGGATCTGTTAAAGCTGTTCAATTGATTTCCACGTTTATTTGACTGAAATGGACAGCTTAGCCCTCCATTGTGTGAAATGACCAGCCAACACACGGCTTGCTGAGAGATTTGGGCTCGCTGGGGCTCTCCAGTTATTCATGAGTACAACTGAAGTTGTTGGAAGTTCTTTCTTTTGTTGGGAAAGTTAGAAGGTGAAGTAAATATGGGTGAATTTGTGGCGCACTTCGGCTTGGTGGGGGCACCAAATGTTATTATTCGTGGTATGATACCGTCGGAAGCGTAAAGTGCTCCTCTCTAACCGAATGCGCCGTTTTTTTCTCTACATGGAAGAAGGATGGTGTGGTGTAGTGCCATAGGGGTTCCTTTTTGCTCCGATGTGAGGAGGGAAAGGGGGAGGTAATTCCTGATAAGCTCCCCTCCTAGGCCAACCAGGCCTTCATGCGCATCTCAAGGGCGCAGTTGAACTGGTGTCGGGGATCTGTCAAATCTGTGAAAGGAATCCTGAATGAGGTAGTAGTCATGTTATCGCTCCTGCTGCTTCCTTTCATCCTCTTTAAGAAGACAAACTAGACCACCCAACCTTTTCACAAAAGCCCCAAATTGGGGGATGGGGGAGGGGAGGAAGAAATCTTTTTAGATTTAAGTGTCTCATGTACCTACCATTTCTTCATCCGCTTGCCCCCCCCCGCTTTCAAGGACGTTTCCATACCACCCGGCCAACAGCGCGTGGCGTCAGCGAAGTATTACACAAGGTAGCCGTAAAACGAAACCGAACAAAGGGGGGAATAAACCGGCCCGTACATCGAGTCTGCGGACGACGCGCCCATATGGAGCATCGTGAACTCATCTTCGGTTGGTTGAGGGTTTCTATGAGGATTTCATAAAGTTCGGAGTTCCTTCCCCCCTAAACCCTCTATTTTGCAGGTCTGTGAAGCACCAGCTGCTTCGGGTGCACCATCAACGCCTGTCTCGACGACGTCATCCGGTTTTGCGGAGAGTATGAACTTTCTCGGCGGTCAAATAAGTATGTGGACTTCATGGTTTCAGCCTTGGGATGCGTTCTGAAGAAGCAAAAGTAGTTGGGGGAGGGGGGTGGGGGTGGTGCTTTGCCGGCGGCCAGGCGACCATGTCATGTTAGGTCTGCTTGTCAGTACAGGAAGGATTCCTAAATATTTCAAGGTTTTGAAAAAAACGTGGCAAGACAAGGCGAAACACGACATAGTATAGCCGTAGCTGCGTAGCACCTCCGAACTATAGTCGATATCCGCAGTCGGCGGGGAGCTGTCAGAAAGCCCACCCACAGCTGCTTTTTCTACCAATAGGGGTCGGACCAGCAAGAAAATAACCAGTAGTAGAAAACGCTGATTCCCACCTTCTGACCCCTCCCTGCCGACTGCGGTGGTATAAACTGCTTTTTTCTCAGCCCGTAGGTTTCTTTCATGTAGTCGATTTCAATTCTTGCATAATTTCTACCCTGATTTCAGTGGATCCGTTGGCCCAGCAACAACAACTGCTTCACTTCATCATGCAACAATCATTAGGTGCAGCTCACACAGCAGCAGTGCAAACGTCAACTCCTCAACAACAGCAACAGCAACAACCCCCTCCACAACCGACGTCGATCACATCGATGAGCACCACATCGGGTAGTGGTGGTGCCCAAGTGAAATCTGAGCCACCCGATCACTTCAATCCCCTCATGGAGCACTTACAGCATCAGTTCAAGGAGGTGAGAGCCATTTGGTTTCCCACGATTACGCTGTGCACCTGGTTGCGATAGTTTCACTAGCGTTGGTGAGAAGGTGATCGTAGGGACCAGCCAAAAAACTTGCGCTTCCCAGCAATATCATATCATCGTCGGGGTCCCGTTGTGAGCTTTTTTTCGGACGTCATTTTATGTGCATTGTTCGTAACGGCGGCGTCCTTTTACTCGCAACAGTTTGATGGGCAACGTTTTTGCGTTTTTCGTCGCCCTAGCGAAAGAAAGGAAGAAATTCAGCGCATAGGAAGCCATTCGGGTTGAAAGAAAGTCTAAGCCATCGATCAAGGTTTTCATAGCTAATCCATTTAGTACAGGGGTTTTATGGAATTGATTTGACCATCGATCAGCTTTGCGGGGATGCAGGGAAGCTATTTAGGGGCAAGGAAGTTGCAGGGGACCTTTAATTTTTCATTTTCCCCCTGTGTTGGAAATGCAATGAGAGAACCGCGGGTGAAAGGCAGGAGATGTGGTATATACAGGGCACATCCTGCCGCTGGAAAAACTGTTTGTGAAATACGTTCTCTCCCCCTCCCCCCTCCTTTTGAAATTCTCTCCTCTACTACGACTCTCCTTCCCACCTGCCATTTTCCTGAATTTTCCCAACCATTCCTACCATCCTTTCAGTGATTTTTTTTTGCGGAAAATGTCCTGCCGCTTTGTGTCAAGAAGAAGCTGGCCATCCGGATGTCTCGTGCTGTGGGAGATTGTCGGCATGTAAGCGTACTCGAAGCAGGAGAAGCCGGAAGAGTACAACAGCATTATACGACCCCTCTTCTCCACTTCAGTTTACCAAATACCGGTCCCCTTGACTGCGAGATTCCCGCCACACGCAGTGGAACTGATCAAAGCAGTTGGTTAGTTCTCGGGAGAGGTTTAGGCTAGTACTCTTTGTCAAGAAGGGACTCGTGGAATTATAAAAAGTAGTGATTCCAGAACTATTGTCTCCCACTCTTACCTCCAGTTCTGGTTCTGGGCATGACTGAGAGAGTGCTAATCTCAATGGTCAAAATCATCATCGCGGTTTAGCAGGCTGAACCCCTGGCGGCGATGAGGAAAATACTTATTTCCGGTTTTATTCATGCGTGGCATTTGCGAGCTGAAATTCCGGATATACGTAGGATCAGGGGCTCGTCTTTTTTGTCTACTTCAGCTCAGTAGGCATCTTTCGAGGTCAAGCAGAGAATCAGGGCGGTATGTGGGAAGCATAAACGTGCAAAGGAAGGGATTTATGAGGGCAACGGTGTATATCGGCGCCGAGGAGTAATATGCCGTTCAGCAAAAGCGGCTCAGAATGTACAATGATGTTTGCAAAGTGCAGAAATTACCTGTAAATTTTCTTTGCGGGCCATCATGTTCCCGTCGGTGTAACTGATAAGAATCAGCGCGACGCTATGGCGTCTTGTCGTCGCGCCGGTGTGTCCAATGATAGTGGCGATTACACGTTGTCAATGTCACCTTTCGGCTAATCACCGCGGACGATGAGTGCTGATCCAGCGATACCGGTTACGCGTCATGTGGCATGAGGGATTGCGTGAAGATTTGGCGCGATAGGATCGGTGCCATGATTCTCGGAACAGGGTACAGCAACGTTCTGTGAAACGCATGGGGGAGATCGTACTTGCACGCTGGGGAGGGAGGGTCGTTTTTGGGAAAGGGGGGGGTAGTGCGCCTTTGAAAAAGTTTGCCGCGCTGGGGAAAATTTTCCAAGGTACTATGAATACGGAAAATTTTTTAGTGAAGAGACTGAGAATATGTGGGAGATACTTCTGGAAAAATGATGGAAGCTGGAACTTATAAGGAAAATTGGTAGGATAGGGTGGTGTGGGGCAGCGAGAGTTCGTACTGAGACCCTCCTTCGAGGGGGGGGGAGGGTCGTACCGAGACCCTCCTTTAAGGGGGGTCGCACTGACTTCACCATTTCACACATCACGATGCTGCACGCTGTCTCGGAATCTCTTATGGCTAGATGCTCTCAAAAATAATTTTTGATTTTAGAAGTTCGATGATGACGACCCGAACGCGTCAGTGTCACGTTGCAGTAATTGTATGACGACAAAGACGACAGCATGGCGGCGAGACATGGCCGGCAAACTCGTTTGTAACGCATGCGGCCTTTACTTTAGACTCCATCGGGTGAGAATTTCCTCTTGTACACATGATTGACTTGACCAAAATGCCCTGACAATTGTCTGTAGATGACCTCGAATGAGCCAATGACGGTCACCCAGTAATTCATAGATCTTATAAACCTAGAAAAGACACCGCTAGCATCCGTATGACCTTCCCATAGTGGACGATCTTCACCGTCGGACTATCAATTCCGGCAATGGACCGCGCCCCGTATCGAAGGGTTCCGCCAATGCGGCGGACAATAGCTGTGACGATAGGAGCGGCCTTGTGTGGTCAGTAATGATGATGATGATGATGATGATGACGACGCCGATGATTACTAGAGGTGGAGGAGACACCGTCTGTGTGCTCCTTGAATGGTGCTGAGGTATAATTGAGGCGCGGAGGGATAAGACGACCGGTCACCGTGCGGACGATTGCCGGCCACCCTCCGCCTTGACGCCTTAGACGTGGATGGTGACTGGCTAAAATGGGACAGGATATATAGGGGATAGATGGATGCGAGCGCCGACGAGCTGAGAGCATTCGACAACGATTAGCGAAACTTTTGCGGTGTAGAAGTTTTTGAAAAGCGGGGGATTTTAGGATAGTCGAAATCGGTGCAGGTCAACTACGGGGGGAGGGGGAGCGGGGGGCCTTTTGCACGTTCGCCGCTGCACTAGTTCCGGTTTACAAGTATCATTCCAGCGAAACCTGTAAACTCTTGTGGAATTTGGGCAAGCTCGTCAAGCCACCTAAGTGGTATCTGTAAGGAGTTCCATTGCTTTACAGGGGTTGACAAGTGTTTTCCACAAGATTTGGCTGGCATCATTTCGTGGCTTCACAGGATTTCACGAGTCTCCACCTGTTTACTTGACGCGTCAGTGGGAAGTAGCGTAGGTACAAGATGCCCCCCCCCCTCGTTGACGAACTGCGCCGTAGAAATCTTACACTTCAGAGTGAAGTCATCCAAGCGGGAAACGCTGAATACTGTTGACCCCTGAGGGCTTCGATCAACGCTTGCCTGCAAATACCGTGTTTCACTCTTCCCCATTAGCGGTCTTGAATCTAATTAATTCGCTATTGACTGTCATCTTTCTCCCACTCGGGCTTGGTTTCTTAGGTAAACCTTGTTGTCGTAGGCGTTGTTCGGCTTGGGAGGGGGCATTTTGCTCTTTCACTAGTTAAAGTAGGCGTCACAGCTTGATAAGGCGCGGGGACACTTGTCAAGACAGTGGAACCCGCATTGGCGCTTCCCGAGCGAGTGCACTGTCCGTTACACCACCCGGGTGCTTGCCCTCCCAGCTAATTTCCTGTAAATATTATTTTCAAAAAAAAAGTTCACGACTTATGTTTTGCTTCCTCGCCTCACTCCACCCCCCTCCCCTCCTTAATCGCAGATTTGTTATACTTGTTCAACCGCGCAGGTTAACAACTGGTGGTTGAAACCAGCAATTCAATATCAATCAGCAATTCGCCCAATTAGTACAGCTGAGGCTTTTGCGGGTGAATTGTCCCTGATTAGCTTGGTAACAGGTGTTCTGCCGGATAAACAGAATTCACCGAGCTACGCAGGCTATAATTGCTGATTTCTGCTGTCCAATGGGTGGTCTATATTGTAGCAGAAAGCACCTAGTAATTATATAGTGTTTGCGTTTCATCACAGAAAAACTGCAGGGGTCGTTATTCTGGACTCACAACCTTCAAGAAGCTTTTCAACATTGATTAGACTCTTTTTGGGATGTGCCGCACATAGTGTCTCCATTCGGAGTCGGGGAGCATCTTGAATGACTTCTGGGGACCAGAACTTTAAGACCTCAGCCATTTCGTCCTCCCAGATGAATTCGAGACCATCTAGCAGACGCTGGAGGGGGAAGCTTCGTTTGCCCAAGAGGAAGCCGATCTGTGATTTGACCCCATGACCGTGCGTGTTGTAAGCGGTAGCACACATATGAACACCTTCAATCTACTGCATATGTCTCCAGTAACTAGTTAGTGATGATCCAGTTCAGAGAAAATGTAAATTATTTCCCTTCAAATAATCCTACCAGTTTCAGACTCATCGCCCAGTGCACATGCGGAAAGATTTCATTCAACAGCGTTTCAGAAGAAAGACTAAGGAAGAAGAGGTAGGCTCGTGATATACACAGAAATCCAACTTCTGCAGGACAGTCCTAATTTTAATCGAAGTGGTGTTGAAGTGACATTGCGCGCGCCATATGCACTATGAGCCTTAGGAAAGTGATTTGGAAGTAACCAACAGAGACGAGGAAATAGTCCGCCTATCTAGGGCTTTTGCCCTTTTGAAGACTGAGTTCTGAGTTGCGCAGAATTAGGGCCTCTGAAAAACAGCCACGCTAGCTCTAAGGGAGTCCTTCGGCACTCCGCACTGATTGGATCGTATAACCGAGCTCACATGGACTAGATCACGCATCCCAATGATGAGCCCTTCCTTTCGAGATGACAAAGAAGAGCACCAATAAGAAAGAAGGCAGTCATCCAAGCAATCCCGCCCACGCAATCAGCACGAAACATATCCACAAATTTTTAAATATGATATTTGGGAACCTTCTGTGGATCTTGGTTTATTCCAAACTGAGCTTCAAAACGGCATTACTCACACCTGTTGTGAACAGCAGGGTGATGGCACAGAAAAGGGATGTGAATAATTGTTGGGGAAATTTGAAGGATTTCATTGTGCAAGACTGGAATTACCCTGGTGGAGATGAGGACTTCTGCCTAGGCCCAGGGGAAAGGTGCCTGAAACGGAAGAATAAGTTCAAGTAAGGTATCTATAAGGATGGCGTTTGACTTCGTTTTGCACAGTGTTCATTCAAATGCCCCTTCTAAGATTTTAGGGCGCCGAAAAAAACTCATTCAAGATTATTCCAAAAATTATAATCGTATAA